GACCTGGACAGCGAGATTCCGCAGCACGTGCTGGACGACATCCACTCGCACCGTCGGTTCATCTGGTGGTCGCTCGTGTTCCTGAACGGGTCCGTGCTGTGGGCGTACTACTCGGGTTTGTCGGCGCAGAGCTACTACGAGACCAAGTTCAAGGCGGCCAAGTTCAACTTTGCCTACCTCACGACGCCCGTGTCGACATGGCCCATGTTTGTCGGCCATGCGCTCCAGCTCTTCTTCGGGTGGGACAAGAAGGTCGGGATGTGGCCCCGCGTGATCGTCGGGTACGTGCTCTTCATCGTGTGCGCGCTCGTCATCTTGGCGCAAGAAGCGTTCAACACGTCCCCCAACACGGGCGCGGTCCTCGTCCTCGTCTCGCTCGGGTCGATCGGCGCCATCAACACCCTGACCGAGTCGGCATTCTACGCGCTGTCGGCGCTGTTTCCCGACTCGTCCTTCACGACGGCGATCCAGGTTGGCAACGGCACGTCCGGCGTGATCAACATCACACTCAACACGATCATTCGTCTGCTCGTGGGCGGGACGAACCCGGCCGCCGAGGACAACGCGTCGATCAACTCGCTGTCGTTTTACATCTTTTTCGGGATCCTCATCCTCGTGTGTCTCCTGGCCATGTTCGTCTTCACGCGCTTGATCAAGGTCGACGGCATCAAGTACCTCATCGAGCGCAACAACGCCGAGACCCGCCGCCGCGCCGCCAACGCGGAAACGCTCGGCAACCACGTCGGCCGCCTCGTCCGCATCACAAAGGTCATCATGTTGCCGTTCGTGGCCCAGTTCATGATCTTCCTTGTGTCGCTCACGGTGTTCCCGGGCATCGGGTGCTCGTCGGGATTCCAGTACGCTGGCACGGCGTCGTGGGCCAACTGGTACTGCGCGCCAGGGATCATTGCCACGTACAACTACGGCGACTTTTTCGGCCGCCTCGTCGCGCCGCTGCTGCTCACGCGCATCGACCTCAAGTGGTGCTTTGGCTTGTCCTGGTTGCGCTGGGTGTTTTTGATCCTGCTCCTGATCGGGTTGCCTGGGTCGGACCCGGTCACGTTTGCGGGCCCGACCAACTCGTTGTTTGCGTTTGACAACGCGCGCGGGTTTGGCCAGTTCTGGCAGCTCTTTTTGAACGTGTGGATCGGGTTGACGAACGGGATCTTGTCCACAATCACGTTTGCATTGGGGCCTCGGCTCGTGCCGCAGGAAGACCGCGAGTCGGCCGGCGCGCTCATGGTGCTCGCGCTCTTTTTTGGCATTTCGTCCGGCGCGACGGTCGGCTGGCAGTTTGGGTCGAACCATTGGTTTGGCGCCTAAGCCCCGTACGACGCATATGTCCATGTACTCTAAGCCTCGATCGTGTCGTCGCTCGCGACGGCATGCACATAATTCAAGTATTCGTCTGTCCGCGACTCGTCCAGTCGACACCCATCGGCGAGTGGCTCGGCATGCCTTGAAAGCGAGAGAAACGAGTGGCTTGGCATGCCTTGAAAGCGAGAGAAACGAGTGGCTTGGCATGCCTTGAAAGCGAGAGAAACGTCAAGGCGACGGAGGGTGGCGTATATGGTGTCGCCGAGTGGCAGGGTGGAAACACTCACTCGACGCAATGTCACTGACAGCCATCGTGGCTCTCATGAGGAAAACGTTGTCGTGCTTTGACGGCCTGTGAAGGCCCTGCTGGTGTGGGGAGAAGAAGGCGTGGGGTCCGATTTGAAAGGCGCAGGAAGCCCATGAAGGAGGGCAAACTCCGAGCCGCCGCATGCATCGTGGATATAAGGTGTGCTGACACTGTGCGGATCCAATGCATCGCTCGCACCAGGGAAGGGCAGGTGAAACATGATCGAGATGGCCGTGCGTTATGGTTCGGCACGTGCCATTCTGCTCTGTCGTTCGGATGCGATGGGGTGCTCTGAACCATTCGTTGGGGGGATGCTTGCATCGGCATCTTAAACGGAGATAGGCACGTGAGAATAGCACCGTTGGTGGTTTAGGTGGTAGTGTCTCGAGATGCTGCTCTCGCACGGCTACATCGTCCAGAGTTTGCCCGTTTCTTGGTTCAGCACTGGCCACCACGCCGGCGCATACGGGAGGACTTGGAACTGGCCGTCTTCTGTCACAATGGGACCGCGAGTCAACTGCTCCAGTCGCACCAACGCCACTACCGCGTTCACCCCTACATGTGCACCGGTGTTATCGTCCGTGGGTGGCATGAGACGGTACCTGTCGCAGCGGCTACAATCCTTCCCGCACTCGCAGAGGAGCCCTTGGCCACAAGTTTCATGTCGGTTTCGACTGGCGGCGCGAGGGCGACGAAGTGCTTCGATGCCCACTTGTGTCCGGCCAACGGATCATGGTTGGCGGGATCACCAAACGTGAATGGGGGTGGCGGCACCGCGGCATCCCCGGAAGCAGGAACAACCAGACAAGGAATCGTGCGTTTGCGAATGTTGCCTTTGTAGTGCGTTCGAGAAATCAGCTCTTGACCGACGTAGCAGCCCTTGGTCATCGACACGCCATGGAGAAGGTCCAGGTTGAACTCGAGCGGTATGCCATCGCGAAGCTCCAAACTACCGCAAAGTGAGCGCATCCAACACGGTCGATCGAGAGTTGCATGCATACCCTGACGTCGCGCCAAGGACAAGGCGGCGGTCCCGGGCGGTACCGTCGGCGATGTCGGCATTCTCCTCCACGGCGAAATCACTCCCTAAAGCAAGGCGCGCTACAAAACAAGCCACGGCCATGACGGTGCACACACGTCGCAGCATGCAAGACGTACAAGTATTGGTGCTTACGGGCAGAATCGCGGTCGCCCCAAACCAGTTGCTGCGCGGGTCCGAGTACACGACGCCATCGCTATGTTGTTGATTTTGATCGATCGCCCACGATGGAAGGAATGCCGTAGTTGTTGAGTCGTTCAGGGACGGGAGAATCGCGTGTGCGCGGACGTGGTCGTGGGCGGCCGAGATCGTCACCTTGGATCGAAGTTTGTACTTTTTCAAGTGCTTCAGCATGTCTTCCTCGACGGCGGCGGCGACTTTTAGAAAGAACGCATCTGTCTATCATATTCACGCGCGCGCAGGACCCGTCAGCGAAGGACGGTCACGTCCTGGACGTACCTCGCGGAGGACAATGTCCGCGTCCGCCAGCATTCGACCCTTGTGGCTCAGAAACGCTCCATACCGGGCATCTCCACGGGACTTGAGCGAAAGGACGTCGTTGGTGAAGATACCCTGCAGGAACTTGGCCGCGTCGGGACCTTCCACGCGCAGCACGCGGGTCTGCGGCAGTGCCGTCGCCACGTTGCGATGCAACAAGTGCGCCATCTCTGTGCAACGTGGCCAGTGACGACATCCTGTCACAACGTATATTTCCACCGCAAATCGGTCCATATGCAATTCCAGAGACTTGCAATCTTCAAACGTTCGGGCATCGACGGTCGCGGCGGCCGACTCGATGCGGGTGAAAGGATCGCAGCTGAAGAGAGCATGCGAAGTCGTCGTGGGGCTCAAAACTCGTTTGTTTGCATCTACTAGCTCCATCGTGGCGAACCACTGCGTGTGCGCATGTTGGGCAACCGTGACATGTGTGCAGAACAAAGTCGTGTTGACGGGTCGTGGGATGCTGCGCTTAGTGTGACGACTCTGCACGTTCGACTTGCTGAACGAGCGCCTACACGATCGATTCGACTGTCAAGCCGACAGTGCCACGATTTGGTGAGATGGACGTCCTTACTTCGAGCGCCTCGATCAAGGTGGAAGGGTTGGTGGACTTGGCGAGTGCCATGACGTCGCCGACGGCCTTGCGCATCTCGGCGCGGCGGGCTGGTGGATGGTTGTACCTGTTCTCATGGAGGACGTAGTTGGTAGTGGCGAGGACCAGGCCAGCATCCGCCGTTGCTGTCGGGATCGCGACGCTTTCACTCGTGCCGCTTCGTTGCAGCGTCAATTTCTACAACTTGGTCGTCAACACCTTGGACAAGCATGACCAGAGTTGACTCGTCCAGCGTACCACGAGACGAAGGACGTGGCCGATTCCACAAGGCACAGTCTCGCCTGCCGCCGGCGCCGCCCCGCCGCAGGACGCAGCAGACAACGGCACGTAGTCCAAGATTGGACGGGCCGCCTCCAAGTCGACATGGATGGCATCTCCGACTTGAATCTGCGGCCGCGTCGACGGCGTGAGTTTGACCAGCAGCGCAAATATTGCGTGAACGACCTAGCACCGTTCGTTAGCGACGGATCGAAACGAGATACGAATATAGGAACACGCACGGTCCAGAGAAGCTGTTCGATGTGTCGCTCGAGACTGTCCTGGCTGAGCCATACACAGCATGGCACAATGTGCGCTCGAATAGCTTCCAGGAGCCGACTGAACGAGCCGGGCATGACCGCTTGCCACTCGTGCATGTGCCGCGACGACGCGTGGATGAGCTGGACAATGGCGAATC